TTCAAGGGTGGGATTTAAGATCTAAGATTTAAGATTAAGTGCCCTTCTGACCTCTTGAAATTATTCTTGTGATGCAGTTTTATCACCACAGCCACAAGGGTTCCTATCAGGCTTGGTTGCTTTCCTAGTATTTGAATAATCCTGCAGGATCCTTTTAGGAAGATGCTGGCGGTCCAGCGTCATTGGTGTTGTCATGACATCAAGACCTAACCCATTCAAACTGAGTGCAATTGCCTCACTGTGTAGTAATCGTGCAGGGTGGGCAGATAAAGCTCCATGTGAAGCTTTACCTGCAGAGAGGAGCAGGGATAGTCTGATTCTCATGGGTGTCTTAGACCTGCATTATCAGCTGTACTTGCCTTGGGGATATTGCTTCTAGATATGGCCCAGCTGCGGTCTGGAGTGATTCCTCCACGTTCATGTTTGTGTAGGTTTATCCCGTTGCAGGCTGAAGAGCACTTTTCAGATGCAGTCCTTGCCCTGTGTGTGGTGGCTTATTTCCATGTGCTCTTTGAGGTTCATTAACAGAGTTGTCTATCCACATCTCTGTAGCAAGGAAGCTGCACTTTTAAACCAGACTTAACCCTCAGGTGGCTTTGCTGGTTCAGTTGTTTCAGACTTGTCCTTGCTGATACTTTATGCTATGAAATTTTTTCCTGGATGGGCATTTTTCCAGCAAGTGCATCAGGGATTGGTGTGGCTCCAGAGCTGCTCTTTGTCTGCTGGGAAGTGCTTTTCCATCAATTCATCCTCTGGGACATTCAGCCAGGGAGGACAACTTCCTTGCTGCTGCTTCTGTGTGATGTAAACTGCATAAAACCCAACTTCATTTTGGCCAGCTGAAGAGTCCCCTGCATATTCGAGACAGATGTTTTGAATGCCGATCCCTTTCCAGTCTCAGACATTTGAAATACAAGATGCTAAATGGGTCAGGTGATGCCAAATACCATTTGGGGAATCCTTCGATGCAAACAGACGTTTGCAGAAAGCTAGCAAGGTTTCCTCAGAAAGCTAGCGAGGTTTCATATTGCTCCCCCTCTCGCCCTCTTCTGGTAGTCTGTAACCAGGCTGATCAGTTATTCCTGTTACTCAGAAATCATTGAAATTCAGAGAGGAACTGGGTATCTTTTTCCCGCAAATTCCTTTTTTCTGTTTTATTTTTGTTTTTTTATGAGCTCAGAGCAGAAGCTGCTGACAGAGTGAATCTGAAAACTAGGTCTTGCCACATTCACAGTGATTTGCTCCCTGGAGGTGAGATGGTTTTGAAGCAGGATGTGTATATTTGACACTAAAAAATAGGATTTTTGTTTGTTTCTCCTTGTCTCAGGAGCTAGTTGGTTTAAACTTACTTGGGAATCATTGACAATAGGGTTCAACTGAGGAATGTCTTTTTTTTCAGGCTAGCAGAGAATAAAAGTCTTGTTGATGACATTTACAGAACTGTCTGCAGAGAAACATTGATCCGAAGCAATTGAGCATTTGAGGTTAATGCAGCTCTACTAGGCTTCTGGAAACATGTGTATTCTTGAGGATGAGAAAGATAAGCTCAAAACAGATCTTGTAAGGAAAAATGTTATCCTTGAACCCTATATCTGGATAACTGTTTTATAAAGACCATTGGCTTATGAGTGCTGCAGGTTTTGTGTGCACACGTGTGGGGGTTATTGGACAACAGAGCTGTGCTCTAATTAGGCTGCATGCCTGATTGTTGCTATACTTTGGGGTTGGAGCTGGTATTTAAACCTTAAATGACACCGGAGTGATAGTTTCTAAAGTGCTAATGTAATGCAGTGTCAGTGAATTTGTTCAAACCAGTTGTTTGGATAAATCAGTATGAGTGTTTGCTTAAAATACAAGCAGTGCATAGTGACCCAACCCCATACATCTGCTCCGCAGGCTTAGAAGAACTGCGCTGACTTCAGTGGGTTTCAGATCAGTCTCAGGCCAACATGAAAGGCCAAGCTCTCATAGTTTAGCAACAAAAACCGCACTAACCTATGATATCAGCTTTTTCCATTGAAATACAATTACTTTTTTGTTTTGTTTTTAAATCCACTTGAAATTCATGCGAGTTATTCACTTAAACTTGTGGTCACAGATCCATGAACTTCCGTGGGCTCTTGTAACTATTGTTTTGGGAGACTTTGTTTCCTTATAACAGGAAACTTGAGCTTGGGGAACTGAAATGATGAAGCCCCTGTGCCTTGTGTTGAAGGAGGCGGCCGGCTCTGTGCTCAGCAGATGTACACTGAGATGAGACTGTTTTGGATTGGAGACTGGCGTAATGACACTGTAAAGAGAAGGACTGGAGAGCTCGAGTCACAGGTGACCAAGTTGGGGGCCCTGACTAGCCATGGCTGCCTGGCCTCTGCCTTCTGGTGCAGTGTTGTGGGGACTGAACCATCACCTGGTATGTGACTGGTGCTCGATTTTAATGATGCCTGGGTCAAGCTAGACAAAGGTACTTCAATGTCAGCTTTTTGTCCCTGTGCAAGACCTAGAGATTGCTGCATCCTCCTAAAATCCAGCTGGCTTAGAAGGGCTTTGCCACCACTGGCACAGCCTATGCCAACCTTGCTGCTGGAAGTTCATCAGTAAAAAGTATCCTATGAATATGTCCAACGTCTTTGAGTTGAGCTTGGTAATACATCATTTCATCTCTATACCCTAGCAAACATAAATCACCTTCTCCATCCATTTTTCAGAGAGAATTGCCATGAATAATGGTGGCCAAGATAAGCTTTTTTTAATATGCACTAAAAAACAAACAAGAGGCTGGGAGGAGCTAGCTCTGGGTTAGCACTATGCCCAAACCAGGGGGAAGAAGAACCTTTAATCTGCTTTTAGACATGAAGAACAGATGCTAGAGTTTCAGGACACAGCTGTAGAAAACAGTTGCTCACCTTCTTTCCATAGTATATGTTGGACACTTGATCCTGTGCAGATAGGGAGGGGAGCATTCAGTGCAGCTGTAATATATGGCTCAAAAACTGTGCTCCATTTAACATTGCCTGGCAATCCTGGGCTTAGCACTGATTGTAACCAGTGGAGTTTGTACCTAAGCACAGGCTGCTGATCAGTAGCTAAGACTGCTGTAGTCTCTGTCAGTGATTTTTTTTCTGTAATTTAAGGTGGGTTTTTCTCCTATATATGTGAATGAACTGTTTTCCTCCTGTTTTATTCCACTGGGGAAGTTCAGCTCCTTCAGTTAAAGCACATTGGATATGACAATTAATCTGCCTTTTTAGTGGATTTTAGCATGCTCTGAGAATTAAGGCAAGACAACTGCTTTTGATCTAATGATCTTACCAAGTAATTAATATTCAAGCTGGACTTTGTATTGGGGCTGCTGCCTATTTGGTCTTGCTTTTTCATGTGAACTGCAGTTTTGGGCTCATGGCAGAAATGCTGGCGAACTTGCTCTCCTGCTTTTGTGCAGGGATTTGTACCATTTGCAGTGGCCCCTCCTAGCTCTTAACGGCTGTAAATATAAGAGCAGAAAGCTTAAACGTGCTTAGGTTAAAGGACCTGAGTCTGATGAAATGTCTTATTTAGAGCGGCAGGAAGGTCAGCAGAGGAAGATGGTACATTTAGAGGAGAAGTGTGTAGAGGATGTGTCACCTGGGATGTTTTCCTTCATTGTGAGCTGAGGATGCAGTGGCAGTTTCAGGAGTTACCAGATGGTGAGGCTGTTGCATCCCAGAAAAATTGGAAGTACTGGGGTAAATCTCTCAGGAGACAATTCTAGCTAAGCAGTTTTGATTCAGAATTTGGGATTTTGGGCATCTTTCTAGGTGGAGATTAGTGTTCCAGACCAGATAAAAGTTGTCTCAGCAGAAAAGAAAATATGATAAAAGGTCTTTCTGAAGCTAGTGTGTTTTGGAAATGTTTCTTTGGCAGGGTCATAATTGAAGTAGTAAGCACATTAGCATAGGTAGTAATTGTTTCTCAAGGAGAAGTGTGATGCACAGTTTATCCAAACCGTTGAAAGGACTGGCTAAAAGAGCAAGGAATTGGTGGAGGAGAGCAAAGACAATGGAAAACTATATGAAGTAAACAAGAAAGGAATAAGTGCAGACAGATTTACATGACAAGTTAGAGCTGTCTTGGTGGCTGCCAGCCAGTGAAGTATGATGGTATGTGAGCAAACAGCTGTCCAAAATGACATGGCTTTGTGGGAGTAATAAAACAGGCTCTGGAGACATGACCATATCTACAGAGCTGAGGAGATGGCAGTGTCAAAAACCTGAGCCTAAAAATTCTCTTCTGAGCTGAAAAACTATCTTCTGACAGGAATATCCTTTCTCTTGGCTTTGGTTGGGTAAACCCTGTAGGAAGCCTCATGATGTTAGCAGAGTGTGTGAGTACCCTACCTATGTCGGGTCTTTTAGGTTGAGTCTGAGCCACTGAGCATGTCCAAAGGAGAACATGTGACCATCATGTCATCTGTGTCCATCATATCTGTGACTTGCCACTTCCTCCAGTCACCAGTTTGGTGAAGTGGATGACTGCTGACAGCAAAGCCATTGGTTTGCTGACTGATTTGCAGTCTGGCTTTGTTGAACCAGGGCAGTAATACCCTTTGATTCATCTCTTCAACTGTGTGCCAAGAGCTTAAAATGGCAGGCTCCAGAGCTCTAACAAATCCCACTGGAGTTGTTCATAGGTGTAGACACTTAATGGTGGAAAAAAGATTATGCCATTGCTTTGAAGTCTGAAGAGGGGTAGCTGAACCTGTGCCCTGAGCACTTCCAAACCGTAATTAAGAGTTCAGGCATGTTTGGCTCAGGAAGCTTATTAGCTTGGCAGGGGAGAGGGATTGTTTTCCCTGTGATATAAAAGATTGAATCCTAATTACCTAGCATGAACATTTGGTGTCACACATGCTGAGTGACTGAATGTGATGCTTGAAGATACATGGATCCCTCAAGGGAAATTGTAATTACTTGGCCAGTGAAGTACCTGATCTTGTTGTGTTGTGCTGTGTCGTTGCATTCCAGAACTGGAGATCCTGATGTCTTTTCCGCAGCGTGGGAAGGGAGGGAATGAAAAGCAAACTGGATTGTTTCACACATTCCTGAGCTGCGCTGACTGCCACAGTATCCCAGCACCATTCCAGCAATGTGTTAGGTGACGTGAGTAATGTCTGTCACTTGCTGTCTGTTCTTTCATCCTCTTCCCAGGGGCGAGTGGTGTATTAGTCGTCTTGCTTCAGTATGTTTCTGTTACGTGTGTATGCCACTGTACATTTATCAAAGACAAGAGGGGGTCACGGAATGCATGCTCATCCATAAACAAGCTGTTTCCAGACTGCGACGAACGTTGTGAACGGTAATGCTCTTCGCTGTGGGAGAATCACGTGGCTCCATTCACTGTAACATGGTTTTAATCCTCCTTCAATTCAGTCTGTAGTGTTGGAGAGAACAGAGCCCGTTGGAACTGGGAGGGAGTTATATTGTTTTCTGTATAGTTAAAGATCTCCTACAAAAACATCTGGTGGGAGAGAAGAAATCAAATGTGAATGTGCTCTGCATTTCAATCCAGTGGTGGAAAGTGCTTTTTTTTAGGTGTCTGTCAAATGCACTTCAGCAAATCTCATGCTTCTCAGTCTGTGTCAGTCTGATTATTGGAGCCCTGGTGCCTCTGGCCCTGCAGTCCTTGTGCTGGTGGGCTGGCAGGGTGCTCGGGCTCCAGCTGAGCCGTGGCTGGAGGCGCCCTGCCCTGCAGGACTGAGTGGCTCCAGCAGAGTGGCTGTCCGGGAAGATGGAGCACTCCGAGCTAAAGAGTTCAGCAGTCCTTCCTAGGTCCTCACATGAAGGCAGGCAAAGAGCCTCGCTCTACACTCCCATCAGCAGCTAAAGTGGTTTCTGGAAGGAGTTCTAGAAACAGCCCTGAGCTTTTGAACACTATACTGTGTTTTGAGTTGCAGTGAAGCCCAAGTTTATGGGGGAGAGGTGACTAAAAGTAAGTCCAGTCTGACTGGCAAAGTAGTGTGAAGCAGGGGTTTAGTCTTTGTTCTATTTATTGACTTATCTTCTATTTCCCCATCCTCCTGTCTTGGGAGGTCTAAGCCCAATGTCATCTTCTCCCTGACTTGCCAATAAATAATTGCAGCAGTTGTTGTCGCTGCAGATTCTGCCCCAATGGGTGGTGACATCTGTGTGGGCAACCCCAAAGGCAGGGGACAGCTGTGCCCAGGCTTCACCCAGGAGCTTGGGTTTTCCATCTAGGGCATGGCCTGCTTGCCAGGCTGCTCTACAGGGCCTTGAGAAGTGCTTTTTTCCCTGAGCAACTTCTCTGTGCTAATTAGACTAATACTGGGTTTCTTTCATTTCTCATGAGATGAGTTGCCTTGGTAAAGCCAAAGAAGCTAGAAGTGTTCAAGCAGTTGCTTTCTTAATTCTTATAGATAAGCCTCACTTTTTCCTTTTTGAGTAAAATGAAGCATTGCATCTAAACTGAAATAGTTCAGTGCTGCACAGAGCCAGTATTACCCTGCAGTGCATCCACTCAGATGGTTCCAGTTGTGTTAATGAACATTTCCTACCAGCCTGACCTTTAGATGCAAACTAAATTCTTCCATGAAAATAAGCTTACTGTAAACAATGTGCTTTTTATCAGGGAAGTTAAAAAGAGGCATGTTTGGCAAATGCTCACTCCCTTCAGGCTCAAAAGATAAACACACAGCAGTTGCTGCTTACCGCTTGTAGACTAACAAAAACCACAGTGCTATATCAAAACATGAGATATATGGGTTATTGAAAGAAGCATGTGCACAGGATCAATGTGCATACTGCTGGCTTGATTGTAGTGTCAACATACTGCTTTTAGCTTGTCAAAGGCTTGGTGTGGCCTGCGGGCAAGTGCATCTTGCAGAGTTCAAAGCAGTAAATGCAACTGAGCTGATGGAGCTGAGCTCTGGGTGCAGCCTAGCACTGAAGAATGAAATAGCTGGAAAATGATTTGTGGTCTTTGACCAAAACACAGAGCAAAGTTTGCTAGGAAAAGTTTGTGGTTTTCTGCATCTTGGTTGCTAATGTCTAGTTGCATTTTTATTTTTGAATCATGTGCATGAAAAAGCAGCCTAGCAAATTAGAAGCACTCAGTAGGTGTTATACTGCTCTTAATTATCTGGGAGTAGACACAGTATTCACGAGAGTAATAGAAAAACTACCAAAGCAATGCAGCAGACCATTAAATGCCAAATTAAGGTCTTGATGCATGAATGTAGCTAAATTTGCAAGTTGGCATGGTATGAGGAATAGTGTTGGCAGTACATGCTTTGCTGAGCAGTCCCCCTAGCTTTTTCTAGCGCAGTCAGTTCTAGCATATAGACTTGTTGCAAGAGGATGCTAAGATAAGGTAAGAAGTCAGGGACTTGAGTGCACTCTGTTTGGAGGTTTGGTGGTTTGGTACTCCCATCTCTGTACCTGTCTTGACCTCCAGAGGCATCAAGGTTTGCCATCAAGGTCTGGGGTCAGGTCTGAGATCACACTTTGTGCTATGTTCCAGAGTCAAGGGCCTGGGTCAGCTCCCTGGTCATGTCCAGAGTCAAGGTGTGTGGTCATGCCCAGCATGAAGGTCCACGGTCATGTCTGGTGTAAAGGTCCAGCATCAAGATGGGAGGTTAAGGTCATGTCCAGTCATGTCCAGTCATGTCCAGTTTCAAAATAGTCAGGTCCACGGTCAGGTTCAGATGAAGGTCCAGTGTCAAGGCGCATGGTCAGGTCCAGGCCTAACTGAACCCCGGTCAGGGGTCAAGAGCAAGGATCAAAATTAGCAGTAAGGTCCAGGGACATGTTTGGGAGTGGGGTCCAAGGTCAGGTCCTGCCATGGCCAGGTATGGGGTCAAGTTCTACTGCAGTCAGGTCTAGGTCAAGGTTGTAGGTCATGTCCAGGGTCAGGGTCCATGGTCAGGTCTGTGGTCAAGATCTGAGGTCAAGGTTGTGGGTAATGCCCGGGGTCATTTCTAGGGTTAAGGTCAGGTGTCAGGTATGTGGTCAATGTCAGGAGTCAGGTCTGGGCTCGAGTCTGAGGTCAAGGTCTGTGGTAAGGCCCGAGGTCAAGGTGCAACATGAGGTTTGGTGTCAAGATCTGAGGACAAGTCCAGGGTTAGTTTCATGGTCAAGGTCCAGAGTTAAGCTAGTGATCATGTCTGCAGAGAAGGTCTAATGTCAGGTCCAGGATCAAGGTCTGGGGGTCAGGTCCAGGGTCAAAGTCTGCGGACCAAGTCAGTGTCAAAGTATGCGATCAGGTTTGGCATCAAGATGTGGAGTCACTTTTGGAGTCAAGGTGCACAGTCAAGCTGAGAGTCCAGATGGAGGTCTGGTCCAGCTTTATGTCATGGTCATGTAAGCTTTCAAAGTCTACGTTCAAGATCTGTTGTCAACTCTGCAGTCAGGTCCAGGGTTTAAGGTGCACAGTCAGGTTGTTGAGGTCCATAGTCAATGTGTGTTGTCAGGTCCAGGGTCAAATTCTAAGGTTAGGTTCCAGGGTCAAGGCCTGGAATCAGGTCTGCAGTCAAGACCTAGGGTCAGTTCCAGGATTGAAGATTCAGGACCAGATCTGGGGTAAGATTTGGGGTCCAAGTGTAGGGTTGTGGTCGAGGTTTGGTGTCAAGGTCTGTAGTAATTCTGTGTTCAGCATCTGGGTCCTTACCGCAGACCTTACCCAGATCCTATGTCAGACATCATGCCTGACTTTGACCTTGGACCTGACCCCCAACCTGCACCTTGGATTGCAATCCTGGACCTTTCCTGGGACCCTACACCTGATGTAGACCCCCAAAGTTTGACACCGGACCAGACCTCAACCCTTGACCGTGGACCTGACCCCAGACCTTGTGTTGCAGTTTGAAGCAGGGACAAATTTGATAAGAGATTAATCCCCTTACATTCCAGCTGGTGCTCAGAGGTTAGAGAAACTTAAGGTGGCTGGATTCATCTCTTAATAGGGATATCAAATACTGTGGCAGCTTTAGGCCCGACACTAGCAGCACTGGATTCACAGTCTGTTGGCTATCGGTCCCACTGTATTCAAAACAAGTAGTTGAGTTCATGAGTAGTAGTATTTATTCAAATGCAACATTTGAAACCTGCTTTGTAAATGTCAGTACAGGAAAAATCTCTACTCCTGCATGATGTTCTTAGCTAGCTCTAATGTACAATGGTACAATAATCACTCTCCTAAGAAGATGGGAGAGAGCTCTCAACCTCAAGAAGTCTCCTCAGGTGACGTCCCAACCCAAGAGAGGGGATCTCTCCCAAGGGAGAAAGAGAGGTTCGACCCATCAGCTGATCCAGAAGTTCCAATGGAGTTGTCCCCCCAACTTCTTCCATCCTTAGTTAACTTTTTGTATTTTTTTTGTACTTAGATGGTGTTTGAGTGATTCTAGTCAGACTGCTTTTGTCAGTGATTGCTCTGTAAGTCTCTTGCTTTCATTTTAAGGTATAGTCAAAAACCTAGAGAGTATGCTCAGTGAGGAGTGGTTGCACCTTGGTGGTGGGTAGCTTTTGGGATGGAGGTGTATGTTGGTATTATAATGAGGTTATAATGAGGAAAAGTTCAAGCAAAGTCCATCCGAAGGGACTGATTTGCCACCATTGTTGGCCCAGTGCCAGACATGTTCCTGTACCATGCGGTTTGTCAGCGGCATGGTGTCACCAAGTTGCCGTCTCTGCAAGGAAAACAGCACAGGTTGCCTGCAGTGTCTTCCCCCCTGCTCCAATTGCTCATGAGATGAATGGTACCATCAGGTTACCAACTCCACAGCGAGTACAACAGGTTTTGGCCATGATGTCTTCATTCTGCTCCACTCTTAGTTTACTCTGATTAGCACATTGTGGGAGGATGGATTGTGTTGCCAAAGGAACTGCAGAGGAGCAGATACCATGTACCAATCATCCTGGAAGTGGTAATTCATTCACCCCAAGCAAGCCCCTGTAATGCCATAATTTCTGTTAGGCCCCAGTTTTTCTCTAATTGCCCAATTTTCCCACATAATCCACCCTGTGATTATATTTGCTCCAGCCTCACATGAGGGCGTTTAGGTGTTACAATTGTGTGGCTAAAACATGATGCAGTTGAGAGTGATTGCACATCGGTGCGTTAGCAGAGGGAAGTTGCAAGGGAGTGGGAGTACAGTTTTACTATTTTCATTTGGTAAGAATACCTACAGCAATTATTGCAATTACAATAATAAGTAATGTTTGTAACAAAGATTGTGTATCCACCCTGACTCCAGTTACCTTGACATATTGAAAATTAGTTTCAAGTTAGAGTCTAATACTTGGGATGGACTGTAGCTGATGTTACAGAGGATATTGCTATACTTATGATAATTATCACAATGAACATCAATGAACATCATGTATATTATTTAACTTGGGATCCAACCAACTTAACACCTTTGACAGCCAAATAGTATTCATCAGTCTTTTGGCATCTTTTCTATCTTTTGTAGTTGGATTGTGAAGTCCTGTCTAATGTTAGGGATATAAATGCAACAGTCAATATTGGAGTGGTTTAGGTGGCCCTCCTGGGC